GCTTTTAGGGAAGGTTTTTACATTTATCTGTGGGTACCCAGGGCTCATGTATGGAATTACTAACCAGCATAACTGAATAATCAGATAAGGGACATTTTACTATGTACAATTATAGTTTTGATAATCACAATGAACCATAGTAGCAATTGTTGTTGTTACGTGCCGTCGAGTCGGTTCCAACCCATAGTGATTTCCGAGGCTGCAAATCTTTATGGGAGCAGAAAGCCTCATCTTTCTTCAGTGTGACTGCTGGTAGTTTCTAACTGCGGATCTTGACGTTAATCCAGAGTTGTAACCTCTACGCTTCTAGAGCTCCATAATTGCGGCGTAGTGAACTGTATAATGTGTATGAACTTTGACCTCCCAAAGCAGTATGTGAAGCACAGCAGGCCTCCACCCAAGAACAAAAGGCCTGAGGCAGCCCAGCCCAGGTAAAGGGAGGCCCCCAACTCCCTCTTTTGGGACTCAAGTAGTAGAGGGTTGTGGACGTCATGGATGATGGTGTTAGCTGTCCAGCAGATAGGGATCAGGGTCAGGACCCCCGAGGTGATGAGGATGATCCCAGAGGTGAGTGCCAGGCAAGGCTTGAAGTCCTTGTTTTCCATTATGGTAGTACAGTTAGCCGCGGCAAGGTAGACCACCAAGGCAATTAGGCCTACCAAAAGTGCAACAATGTAGAAGGCACGGGCAGCCTGCAGATCTTGGGGCAGCGCCAGCAGCGAGTCATACACCTCGCACTGCATCTGTCCCGTGCTCAGCATCATGCAGGACATCCACAGTCCCTCCCATGTCACCTGATCCTCCATGGTGGGGCTGTCTATGAAGGTAGTCACCTTCCACATGGGCAGGATGCAGGAGACCATGGCACTGAACCAGCCCAATATTGTCAGGGTGATTCCCAGATTCTGCAGATGATTAAAATCCATGGTGAGGTCCAGAAGCTGCAGAGAAGAACCGAGAGATTCGTGGGAGGTGGCAGAATGACAAACACATAAACTTTTAAAACACCCAAGTTC